GTGAAGCCTAAAAATCCCCAGAAATATGCATGATATGCTATTGCTAACTTTGTCTGTTGAATATTTTGGTATTGATTTCATCACTTGCATGTAGTTTTCCTGGTATATATTTCAAATGGAAAATTTTAATAGGTTCAGGTATCCATTATGCAATTGTAGGTTTTCCCCCGCATAGTGAAGCCTAAAAATCCCTGGAAATATACATGAGAGAGAGAGAGAGAGAGAGAGAGAGAGAGAGAGAGAGAGCTGCTATTGTAGGCCTCATAAAGTTTGGTCTTTACCAAGAAACACATCATAATTTTGTTGACCTGGATAACCTGTCTATCAAATGGGCTAGGTCCAGGTTTAGGCTTTTGATATTGACCTTGTGGACCTGAACTTTAGATTAGAAGGTTCGTGAATATATTTGTGTTATATCTTTAAACAGGATATTCCTGTGTTATGTGATCAGAGTGGCGGTTGCTTCATCTTTGGCACTTTGATTGATTGCAGCGACTCTTTTTTCTCACTACAAGTTGCCTTTTTATTTTGGAACTCTTTAAAACCTGTAAATACCCTATCTCTTTATGAAACCATCCTCGTTCATTTAATAAATGTGGCATACGTCTGAGTTGAGCTATACGTGTATATATATACATTTCTTATAATGACCTTCACTCTTGCATGTTGTCATTTTATCATTTTAACATTTTTATTTTGATACTGGGCAGGGTGGATTTGATATGATATGCAGTGGAAGGGACAAGATTGAAACCCCAGAACAGGTGTTTTTTCATTTATTTATGTTCTTCTTTGCATACATGCTCCACTTTATGTGTTTGGGCATGTATACCTTGTGCACATATATAAAAGCTCATCTCATTTTTTATTGTACCTGTTGTTGATGAATATTTCTAGTTCTTTCTCCCTTTATGCTTAACTGCCGCTTTTTATGCTTATCTGAATCAGTTTAAGCAAGCTGAAGACACAGCAAAGAAACTTGACCTGGATGGACTAGTTGTTATTGGTGGAGATGACTCGAACACAAATGCATGCCTGCTTGCTGAAAACTTCAGGTTGAACTTAGCAGCCATATTATTTAATCACACTACTTACATCATCTAATGAAATCTTTCTGGACTGAAGTTTTTATATTCATTTCTAAGTATACATTTGTCTACTCTTTTACAATGGTTGTTAGGCAAAAAAATGTCAAAACTCGTGTTATCGGATGCCCAAAAACAATTGATGGAGATTTGAAGTGCAAGGAGGTTCCAACAAGTTTTGGTTTTGACACAGCTTGCAAAGTAACTCTATTTCACTTTTATATCTAACTGTCTTTATCTTGTATATTGGCATTTTTTCCTCCAATATATTTGTTTGCATTATTGATTGAGGGCAATGCCTGGTATTATGCAACCTATTTTATTCTTCTATGAACATCAATATGCTTACAGCTTCTATGATTTATTCTCTTTTATTGTTTTAGGCAAAAGGTTTCCAACCAACTATGTTATGCTATTGAAAATAATTATATTTCATAGTTTGCATGTACGAATTCATCACAGTTAGCTACTGGTACTCCAAAATATACATGATCCTAGAAATCTACTCTATGTGCGCTCATTTCTAATTAGAACTGATGTGCAGATTGCATATGCTGATATTATATAGCATCATCTTATACATGTAGAAGACGGAAGACCTAATCAAATTATTCCAATCCCATGCTCTGGATGCTACCTGCTATTGAGGGATATATTTTGTCTTGTCTTTCTTTCCTGTTTTAGAAGAACCAAAACTATATAACTCATGAATTTCAACCAATCTATAAAGATTAGGATGAGTTATTAAATCAGATATACACAAGCAATGATGTCATGCAATTTTCTGGAACCACGTGAAAAGTGATCCAGTTGCTAACATGTTCTTCCTCTTGTTCATTGCTCAGTAGTTGGATCTTTTTTGTTAATTGACTTGTTTGGGTTGATGGTAATAGAGTCAACGTCAAAACTCTATAATTATGGTGTGTTTCATCTTCACATTGTAGCTTGGATTTTGATTGGTTAACAAATTGGCTAAAGCTTTTGGAGCAAAAAATTCAAAAGGAAAAGAAGGGAAGGTGAAAGATTTACAGTAAACACAACTCTTATTAGCAGCTTGTAGAATGGGTAATCCTGAACAAGCCTTGAACCCAAATTAGTTTTGAAAGAAAGGGTGCTTAAAGTAAAAAAAAAATGAAGAAAATGGGTCAGATGGCTTACATTCTGTTCATTCTTAAGGATAATGTGTGGGCTCCTTTTACACTGGAAGCAAGTTTCCTTTATCAACACACATCAGAAAACAACTGTGCGGACAAGTGCATGTATTCATGGAGCAACGCAACTTCCCGACCTGTATGCCTTCTGTTATACGTTCTTCTAGTCCTAGCCCTTCTGTTATTTATGTTTTAGACAACGTGGGGACGTTTGCTGCTTTGTATAAGAAATAGCTGGAATACAGATTTTATGACTCCTCAGTTTGGAGCTAACATTTTCCGAACTGTGAATGACATCGATTCCTTCTTTTGTAAAGCGTGTTGAGAATGGAGAAGTTAGTGGTTGGTGAATTATGTCTAATGTAAATTAGCAAAGGTGTTAAATCTACTTTTTGGATTTAGTTTAAGCTTGGTTCATCTGTAACAAATAATTTTGAACTTTTATGCTAGAACTGATTATGCTTATTTAACCCATGACATAAAGTGAGCCAATCAACCAACCAAACCTCACAATTATGCCTTTTATTTCCATTGTTACTAGACTGGCTTGTCCTAAAACATGTGTTACTGACATATTCGCTTACATGGAATGTTCTGGATGTGAATTATTCAGATAAGTCATAATTATTATAACTGATTCACCCTATGCTTAATTCATTTATGTTATTCAGTATCCAAGACTTTTCTTGCATATAGGAATTCATGTATATGAATCTGTTTTGTTATTTCCTATGTTCTTTATTCATCCTTTGGTAGGAATACATGCCAAGCTTTGCTTGAGAACGTGGAAAATAGGATTTTCCTTGTTGTGAAATATGTTATGTGCTACAGGTTATTTATCCACATTGGGTATTGAACTTTCATTAGCCTTCTCCTTCTGATATGCCTTCATGCGTTGCAGATATATGCTGAAATGATAGGAAATGTTATGACAGATGCTCGGTCAACCGGAAAATACTATCACTGTGAGTTTTCTTTTCCCCCGTCTCCGAACCTCCTATATAGATTTGAGAGAGTGCTTTGTCATGTCACACTAAGTTATCTCAATCAACAGTGCTAGTGACATTGTTCTATGGCCTTCAAAAATCATACTGCTACAACTAGGATTTATACTGCTTTACAGATTAGTTCTGAGTGCACATGTCTGACTGAAATCTTGCTTATTAGTATAATAACTAATCTTGAGATTGCAATAAATTTGTATAGGCTTTTTGTCAGTCAGGATAAGCTAGTTCTATGTATCTGACAAACGACTGCAGCCTAGACAATGCAGCTAAGTTCTCACACAGTTTAAGGCAACTGTATGTAGCACCTTATTTTTCTGAATATTCTCCCGCTCCTTCCTTCTGAGCCCTGTTCATGAAACCTATCACTTGCCTTTTCCTGATTTAGCGGTTCCGCTTTAAAGCCAGTTAAGCTTATTTGAGATATTATTGACAGAATTTATGTTATGAAGAATCTTTTAACTTTCTTGTGTGCAGTTGTACTGAACAATCGGATTTATGTTCTGATGAATCTTTAGGGATATTTTGTGTTCATAATTTTGTGTGAACCTCAATATTTGTAAATTTTACATTTTACTAGTTCTTAGTGGCCTTACAAGTGTTCACCATTCATGCAGTTGTTAGGCTTATGGGGCGCGCTGCTTCTCACATCACGTTGGAGTGTGCTTTGCAGACCCATCCAAACATTACAATCATTGGGGAAGAGGTATATTTCTTTTACATGGTCATTTTTGTTCTGATACTACAAATAAATTATAATCTGTTCCTGACTGGAAGTTGTTAGAAGGCTTGTTATGTACACATGAAGTTGGCAAAGCAATGGTCTTGAAACTATTTATTGACGCAAAACTTATATCATGCACTTGTGATGTTAAACACATAGATAAAGATTGTGTTGTGTATAAGTTCTCGAGATATATGTTTTTTTTATTTATAAAGGTTCTTTTGGTTTTATTTGGCCTTCTTAATTACTTTGCCTTGTGTCTCTAGCTTTTCATTTACGACTATACTTTTATTCCAGGGGAGTTGGGGATTGCTTCGTTCTTATATAGGCTTAAATTACCTGACCATGGCCAATTGGATTCTTAGATTCTTTAACGAAGCAATTGCATGCTTCTTGGATTGCTCCCTGCTTATATAGGCTTAAATTACATGACCATGACCAATTGGATTCTTAGATTCTTTAACAAAGCAATTGCTTGCTTCTTGATAGCTTTGAGGAGGAATCTGTTGGAATCAGATTGAGACTCGGTTGCAGCACATTAGTCAACTTCTATTGTGATTCTTTTCTTCTGTCGCATTATCCTCTATGTTACCTGGGTACTCCTAGACAATGCCATACCCATACCTGGGACACTCCTTGCATATATGAATACATTTATTCGAGCATGTAATCACTTATGCAGTATATGTTCTAAGTTAAAACACTTCTCATACACTTCACATCCACTTGCTTAAAACTCATTGGATATGGGTTGGGTTTCAAATTTTTTTTAAAGGTCATTTGGGTTGTCTAGTTAAACAATGATGGTTTTCCAATTTATAATCCACATAATAAAAGTAACATATTACTTTTGCCTATTTTTCATAGGTATGTGCTGTATCCTGTATTTCTTCTGACATGTTGACACCACATATGCATACTACATATTACTTTCCATCACTTTTCTAGCTTTTATAGTACTTATAATCATCTTGTGTAACTTATTATTTTATAATATGACTATTATCTGTCGCTTGTTGCAGGTGGCTGCTAAAAAACAAACTCTTAAGAGCGTTACAGACTACATTACTGATGTAATCTGCAAGCGTGCTGAACTTGGATATAACTATGGAGTCATCCTTATACCTGAAGGCTTAATTGATTTTATACCAGAGGTAATGCATGTGTTTGTTTCGTTTTGTAAGTCTATTGAGATGCAAGATTTTGGACAAACTTATGTTAATAGTCCCGGGCCTCAATTTTTAGTAATTCATCTTTTATTCTTTATTATACTGATGTTTCTTTATTATACTGATGTATTTGTTTATTTC